ATATATGCACAAACAATAATTAATGGAAACCAAATATTTGTTCGTTTTGAATAGTTGCATCAAATAATATTATCTATTTTAATTTTGAAATTAAAATAAAACAAATGGAGTTTAGTATTAATCACATAAATATATATTTTGAACAATTTTAAATAATGCTGTTACCCCAAAATGGTTTACACATCTTTAACTTCACACATGTTTTAGTTTAGAATAGTGTTCTCTCACGCCTGGGTTGTGGCATCCCAAAACGTTTCTGGGAATGGTGAAGGTTAAATGGCGATCGGTACCACTCCCTTAGAAGGTGGCCGAGTAGCAACGACTTGCAGAACTCTAGCTACACACCTTCTCCTCTGCTAGCCTTACGCTAACATTTTCACCCGCAGAGCGAGTCCCTGTATTATTGCATATCCGGCGACACTCGTTAATAATTCATTTAACTTTACACCTCTTGATTGGGATATGTCAATTTCATCTGGGTAATTCTGTTCTAAAGTTGCTTACTTGGACACTTAATAGACCATTTTGGATAAACGTAGAACTGACACGTTTAATTTTGGTATAATGAGTCAGATTCTCAGTTGTTCGTAACATTTGGGAAGAGCGATGAGTAATAAAGTGTAGATGAGATATTAAGTCATAGCTATTGTCCCAGTAATTTACCTCCGACATCCGGTAGCTTTCACGGCAAACTCTCTGTGCATTCGCTGACCGGAGGATAGGAACTCGAGCGATTCTATCGCCGACTTTACCGTAAGCGCGGTCGAAATTCAACAACCGTCGCAGGGGAATTCGCTAGCCAACCCAGCTGCTCTGACGTAAAATGTTTTCCATGGATTTTCTCCGAATCAGTCGAGAGGAATTGACGTGCCTCGAAAATAAAACACCGGCCATGACCTAACCGCGCAATGCGACATTTTTCTCGCTTCCAAACCCTTGCCTCTTCTCAGCCGTTATGACACCCACACTTGCATGCCACTACACACCCTACATATGTCGGAAAACTATTGAGCGCTTAGCGTATGCCCCTGCGTGGTACGTGGGCCGCTTTTGAAGATACCTGACGTGTAGGCCAGGTATCATCATCTCCTACTGAGCGAGAAGAAGGATAACATTCCCGGATAGTAAGCATTCCACCACGACTTACGGGACGAATGCCCGTAGCTTTGGGCTCGAATGACGAGTAGTTTGACGCGGCCGGAATCAATACTCATTCCCTAAACGACTTCCACGCGGAAGCCGTGGAAGGAAGTGGACGCAGTGTGTGCCCGTGCCGGCCAGTGCGCAGGGTTAACTTTATTTCGCGTCGTCTCGCTGCCGGACCGCCGCTCTGCTCACGCTCAACGCGCGTGCGAGCTGCAGCTCGAGTGCGAGGACTGCCGCGCGTGGAGGAGGTGTGCAATGGCTGCGGTAACACCAAACAGATGTAGTTTTCTCTCTACTATCCTGCCCCGCGGCCGCGGCCTGAGGCCGCCCACGCGCCGACTCGCATCTGCCCGCAATCGCGCGCCAATATTTCCACCACCACCCCCACATCCCACGTGATCACATACTACTGCTGCCTTACATCTTAAACCACGTCGATACTCCTATAGACTGTCTTACCAAGCCTCCCTCGCCGGTTCCTGGTATCTGTTACTGCCTGCTGCCGCCGTAAGCTCACCGCCTGCGACACGGACGCGGCCATCTCCGAGGCACCACCTTCAGGTAAGGGATGCTATTTTTTCACATAAAGTGCTCAAATAGAAAGTACTCATAATGATAAAATGCTCGGCAAAAATCATGGGTACATTTTTATGAATATTGTAAAATTAAATACTGCCTAAATTGTAAACAAATTTGAATTCATTCTCAACGAAACAAAACTATAGAATTTCACCATTCTGTTTTTAACTTTTTATGGCGAGCATTTGTCGTCGTTTCCTTTGCTCGTTCCTTTTACTTAATACTCCGTTTACAGTAAAAGCATTTCGAATTGTAGGTAAAAATGATTATAAGTAAATATTCAGATTCTGAATTCATTGCTAAAGTATTTTGAATATTATTGCGAGATGGGAACTTGTTTTTCCATAACATTATACTTGATTTGTGTTTTAGATCTCGAATGAAACTACTGTTCTTTTGACGAATATTAACAAACAGGGGAAGGACGTCAGATCTACTAGGGTGCCTTGAGGAAAATTGGAGTGTGTTCACTTCAATCCTGGTTGTTTCCAGCTAGTCCTTGGAAAACCATTCCTCTTTTATACACTCAATAGAGCATTGCGTGCAAGCCAAGTTCGAAGCTATGAAGTGAAAACATTACATTCAAGAATTACATTTGATTCAAAATATTAAGTTTAATTCGTGAGGGTAACAGGAATTTGAGTTTGCGATGATCCTTGTTACGAGCGCGTTGACATGTTGGCAAAATGTTCTACATGCCTTTGAGTGTGGAGGCGTTCAATTTCGAGGAACTGATTAGGATCATCATTATCATACTTTATAATGTTATTTCCGGACCACACTCTAATTGTGGAATATGACCATCGATAGTTTGAGTAACATCTTCAATCTTCCAGGGAAGTCGATAACATTTCAAATAATTTACCTTACATTAAATTGCTAGCTGTGATCTGATTTGATTGGTGAAAGTACGCTGTTGGTGTACTAGAAAGTGCGCGAATAAACTCGACATTTTCCTGGTATGAGTATTTACGGGTACAAACTCGATCATTTAAGCGAGAATGCTAAGTCCTCATAACATGTACAAATATAATCCTTGAAGAAAAAAAATAGATAATATGAAACCTGCTTTCTCCACTGCTGTACAACACCGCCCGTGCGTTATGTTGAAGGTCTAAAACATAACTGAAATGATATTGAGAGAATGCAAAATTGTAAGGAATTTTGACATGTCTAGATGAGTTTTCAGTTCATTTTTAGCTCTTTTATTATAGTTTGATTCGTACCGTGTTTAAAATAATGCACGTGTGACGATTTGATAGGATCGATTCAAAGTAGGTTATGATTACTCGATATCGCTCAGCAGAATAAACATGTTACAAAGATAAAAGGATTGTAAATTGTGACTGAAATGTTTCCGGAATGCATACGTAAATTTTATCTTTTATTTTGAACGCGCATCTTATAAGTACACACACAACGTGTTCCAATGAAGAGACAAGTGTTCTTAAAAGCAGTGAGTTAACTGCCACGCGCCACATACATTCAGAAATGTGAATTAAAAATAGCTTTCCTTATCTCTTGGGATGAAAGCTACAAGTTTTCCTTTATCTTTATCTGTCTTACTTGAGATAAATGCGGCAAACGGTTGCTGCTCATATTTCTTTCTATGTGATGATATCCCATATCACAAAACATTAACCCATCTATAAGTTTTTTTTCTGCTGCAACATTCTCCCTAGTATACCTTATCAGACGTCGAACTTCGTCAATGAAAGCGACTAAGCGAATCGTCCTCTGCAGAACTATTCAGAATGAATCGAATCTCTTCTTCTAAGTGAGCTTTCAGAACCCATTTTTGTTCATAAATGAAGCTTCAGGTTCTGTTGCATGCAAGCGAAAGAGTAGAGTATACAAACATTTTCTTAATGTCCTGGAATATGCGCAAATTTTCAGACATGCAAGTTTCAATATGCAGACGTATGAAAGATTGGTGGGGCATTGAAACAAACAGGCACTGAATAGAACTCCCGCTCTATCCATTTACATATCGATAGCCATTAGATTTAACTCTGAGACTGTTTGGGGTCTTTTTTGACCGCAGGGATAAGTATTGTTTCGCAACATTCTGAAAATTATTCACATGAACTTCTCCATTTAGATTCGATATTTACGTTCAGTTTTACAAATGTTGTAATCTTTTCAGTTTTATAAGTTTGTTTTTTCGTTAGAAATAATGTGATTTTTATGTGGTTGGAGACAAAAATACCACATTTGATATCTAAAATACAAGAAAAATTCTAAGAACGTGTCCATATCCGTTTTGTAATATTCTGTTGCGGTTTCTGAGTGATAATTTGGAGTATTTGTCTATTACGATTTGGTAGTCCTTTTAGAAACACTCTCATGATGGTGAGATAGACACATATGTATAGTAATGAGAATATACTAGAATGTTTTCCGGAAATAACATTATTCTTTATTATTTAGTACAATATAGTAAATATAGCAAATGAATAGCATCGTTTTCTCAATTATTAATTTCCAATGACATGTCTGCATCAAATACTTGTAAATTATTGTGAAAAAGTTTGGGATCAAAAGTGACCCCCAGAGTCCACATTAGTATTTGTGAAACAGAGTCGAAGAGAGAACAAAAAAAATGTTGACTGCACTGCCTATTCATTTTAATGATATAAATAATTTCAAACTTTTTAATCTTAACAATTCAATAATATCAAATAGCACGTAGCATCTATAATAGGAATCATATAATAATAATAGTAATAATGATAATAGTAATAATGATAATAATAATAATTATTATTGTTGTTGTTGTTATAACTGTGAAGTGCTTTTGTTGAATACGTACGACTGCACGAATGGACAAATAACTGTTAGGGATGAGGTTGAGCAGGGAAAAAGGGTCGGAGAGAGGGAGTGAAAGAAAGGGAAGGCGGCAAGGGGAGCAAAAAGGATGGAGTGAAGAACATATCTAAGGAGAAAGGGAATAATGTTTAAAGGGTAAATCTCGGGATGAAGAGAAGGATGGATGGAGGGTAGAATTCATGATGAATGGAAAGCTGGATGGAGGGTACAACTCAAAATGAAATGAAAGCGGGACGGAGGATACAACGCGGAATGATTGGAAAGCGGGATGGAGGGTACAATTCGGAATGAAGGAAAGAATGGATGGAGGGCAGAACCCAGGGTGGGGAGAAGGTCGGACGGAGAATACAACTCGAAATGAAAGTGGGATGAAAGGTACAATTCGGAATGCAGGGAAGAATGGATGGAGGGTAGAATGAGCAAAACGGATGGATGGCGGTGCGCAGGTGGTGGCGCACCCGGCGGAGGTGGGCGCGGTGGCGTCGCAGCTGGTGACGTCGCTGGGGCTGGCGTGGGACGCGGCGGACTTCGAGGCGCTGGCGCAGGCGCTGGGCGCCTTCCGCTTCCCGACCTTTCTGGCGCTGCTGGAGACGCGGCTGGCCGGCGCGCCCGCCGCCGAGGACCCCGCCGGGCTGCGCGAGGCCGTCGAGGAGCTGCACCAGACCTTCCTGCTCGACGTGCTCAAGCAGGTGCTCAAGCACTCGCCCGCTGCCCTGTGGCGTTTACACACAGCGGTCCCATTGACAACGTGTCCAACTGGCGACCCGCGGGGCCATACATTGTGGCCCGCTAAAGGGAATTTGTCAAAAGTGAAAAGCCCCTTGTATCCATGTCGGTCGAAAAAAATTGCGCTTAGCACACGCGCCCAGTCGGAATCAACACCCACTCGATATAAAAATAGGATACGTTTCAGATTTAAGATTTTTTATAGTAAATGCAGAAGTTAAAAACCATCCCAGTGTGCTTCATTAAGTTATGCCATGGTACGACATGATATCACGCATGGTTCCACCCCACCCTCAGTTTCTTAACAGCAGGGCAAACTGCCGAGATTAAGAATACCGAGGAAGTCAAGTGTAGTTGTCCCGAATAATATAAATTTGGTCCGCAAGCATATGAAAGATTTTAGTTGTGGCACTCGAGGCCTTACGAGTTCAACACCCCCGGACTAGGCACCCTCAGTTTTACTGTGGACAGCATACCTCCTTTTAATAGTTTATCTCCCAATAAAGCCTTTCTAGTCGAGATAAATTTTCTGAAATTTCACTTTCATAGCGATGGAGGTAATTATTTCAGTAAGTTTTAATGAGATGGCTTCCCTCTTCATTAGCCTTTTATACTCGCCCCCAATGAATTCGACTTTTTTATTTCATGACCGAAGGTAACACGTTTCTGCTTCTGAGAAATTCTTACTCAACGATCTGAATTAATACAATTGTATACCTTGAACACTGTCTAGCCTGATAGCTGATACTGCTAAAAAGTAACGTCCGGAAACCATAATATTATAGGGAGAATATTCATGTTTCACTCATGATACATATTTCAACTATATTTTCAGTAGAATGTTTAAATCTAAGTACACAATGACTAGTGATTTTATTGTTCCGGTAATTGTAAACCTCCCTGATTTCAATGGTTTTAGAGAAATAGTTCAGGACAGAAACAGTATTTTTGAGAAGCATCGATTTGCTGTCTACTACATATGTTGAAATTTTTTTTGTAACTTTCCAACAGTTCTTCCTCTTACGTGATGTAACCGCAAGGGTCCAGCTAGTTGACGTTGCTGCTTTGTCCCGGCAGGGAGTGCTCCAGAAGCGCGGCTACCTGCTGCCGACGCTGCGCGAGTACTGGTTCGTGCTGCAGCCCACGGAGCTGAGCTACTTCAAGGCGCGCGGCCGCGACCAGTGCGGCTGCATCGCGCTGGACCCGCAGTGCCGCGTGGAGGCGGGCGCCGAGGGCGGCGGCGCGGGCGGCGCGGGGGTGGCGGCGACGGGGGCGGCGGCGCAGCGCCTCGTGCTCACCACCAGGGACCGCACCATCGAGTTGGCGGCGCCCGACCACAGGTGGACCACCCCGCATTCACTACCTTGCATTTTGGTATTCGGAGCAGAGTGGCTCACGTCGTTCAGTGAATAGCGACCTTTTATTTTTTATTTGAACATTTCGTAATGAGTAAAATAATTAATTTATTTTATTTAAAAATATTAATACTTAAAATGTATGTGAAAGTTATTTAAATGTATTTTAATGTAAAAATAAGTAATTACATTTACGTAAAATCGACATTTGCATCGTCGTTAGAAATATTTTTAGTGGTTGCAATAGCATAACAAACATGTCGATTCACGTTGTTAGTTTTATTTAATCACTCTGAAATGGAACTGAAAGGGTTCTGAAATGGAGAATTAACGTCGTTAATTCCATCTCGTCTCCTTCCAGCTTCCTTTTTTGACTGTTTAAACTTTACCTTTAACATTTTGACATTAGAAATTGTACCATTCGGCAATTGTCCTAGGCCCTTCCCCCGGTCGTAATTACGGCCCCAATGATTTTTAGCGAATAGCTAAAGCAAATGGGTAAAAGGAATGCGTGTTGAATGAGGGTTTTTAATTGAGTAGAAACACTTCAATAGTAGACTCCCGAAGGAAGCCAGTTAAGTGAGCCACTAATGTCCACATTTTGTTATAAAATGCTGCGCAAAATTTTGGATTCTCTGGACTCAATGATGTTTTATGTTAATCATGGAGCGCGAAGGCGGAAGCCTCTCCGTCGACTTGGAAACGCGCGAGAGAAACCAGTAAGATTGGATTTTTTGGGCCATTCAAATTGGCTGTTCTTTTTCGACAGTCAAATTGGCTGTATTTTGTGGCTAGTCAAACTGGCCGTATTTTTTAGCCGTTCATATTGGCCGTATTTTTGATCGGTGGTATTGGTTCATATTGGTATATGGTTGATCGGAACCTTTTTGGCCAGTGAAATTGGCAATATTTTTTGCTGAGCTAAGTTAACTACCTATACTGCGAGTGAGAGCGTAGGCTTCCGCGGTCGGAGTCAGTATTTACTTGGCTGTCCGGGTGACGCCGCGTCCATGGCGAAGGTGCCGACGTTTCGGTCGCCATCCTGCGACCTTCCTCAGGGCGTAGTGCGCGGAGATGTACTGCCTCAGGGCGTACGCGCATATCTCCGCGCATTACGCCCTGGCGACCGAAACGTCGGCACCTTCGCCACGAACGCGGCGTCACCCGGACAGCCAAGTAAATATCTATACTGCAATTTTTGACTTCACTATGGTGACGTCGAAGCTCCCAATTGGATAAATACGTCAACAGCTGAAACCTACCGGGGGCAGAGTTGCAAAAATAGCAGTATTAATACGCGCAACGTGTTGAATTGTGTTGAACAGCGCATTCCATTTGCCCATTCGCGTTCGCTGCTCGTCGACGGAGCGGTGGCTCACGGCCGCGCTGTCCCGCAGGAGCCGGCTGCAGTGGGCGGCGGCGCTGCGCCTGGCGATCGCGCACAGCGGCGCGCGCGACGGGTGGCAGCGGCAGCAGGCGGCGCGGCGGCGCGCGGCGCGGGAGGCCGAGGCGGCGCGCGCGCGCGAGGAGGCCACGCGCAGGCACTCCACGCTGCTCGACATGGAGCGCACGCGCGCTCAGCTGCGCGCCGAGAAAATGGTGAGCGCTCGCGCGCGCCGCAAGGGGGCCCGCTCGCCGAAATACAATTCGCGAAAATGTGCCTTTTCTGTCCCTCTCCTTCCCTCTTTGTGGCAACTCGTGACATTGGCAGAAACAACCGTGTCTGCGAGGCACGTTCTGTTCCAACCTCCACCCATCCATCTGCCTCACTGCCTGAATTCTTTCTGAGAGATCCCAGGATTCGAGTCCCCACGGTGGCGAATTTTCGATTATATATCCCTTTACAACCCTGCCTACACAATTCTGTAGGCATAGTCCCACCCAACACAATTGTGCAGGTTAGGATTTTCCCCCCCTCATAAATACGTCCTTTCTTCGTGTTCAGACCGGTGCATTACTTGTGCGTGTGTATTACGCATTGCTTGTACAGGTCGTTGAAAATCTGTGGTAATGGATTTTTTCTTGTACGAACTTGCGTTTCGCAGTAGAAAATTTTATCTTTGAGTAAGGCAGACTAAGAAAAAAATGTCAGGGCTATTAGACATACATTTCATTCAAAAGTCTGGGTCTGAATGTGACACTCCGTTATAAATGTGGTGTCCCTCCACAATCACGATCTGGAAAGGGGGGGGACACGGTCGTCCAATCGAGAGATTGAATACCAGAAATTTATGTCGATACGAAGCTCCCAATTGGATGAAAGTGACACCTCGCCTTCCAACTGGTGAGCTACGAAGTGACACTACATTTAAACCAAAGCATAGCTAAATAGTTAGGTCGAATTCAGCCTCTGTCTGGAGGAGAATTCTAGCGGCCCGCTCTTCTGATGAGTAGTTTTACGAGGATTCTCTGAGCACTTTCAGACAAATGCAGGGGCAGAGTACCCTTACAACGTCCCACAGACCATCCGCGATCTTTCCTTCCTCTTCCTTGTATCTTCTCTTCTTACAGTCACTTACAAATACTACACTACCGCACATATAGAGAGATCAGTAGGAAACGTAGAGCTTGTCGCGGCTATGGCGTTGCACCGCTGGGAAAGATCGTTGCGGGGGAAATACCCTGCTAGCCGTCTTGTAGATTGGATCTAGATCTCACTATCTAGCGGAGGAAAATCGCCAGTTCCTGTGATAGAACATTCACTACACTAGTGAGACACATGTTCATAGCAGTCAACATGCTCAGAAGCATCAATCAAATATATTATTAATTGATTGGTGTTTCCGGGAGCGTCACCTGCTGTCGTAATAAGTGCATCACGCACGGGAGAAGGAACTCCTCCCCTTTTTAACACCAGTGTGGAGAATGGTAAAATCAAATATTCTGCTAGTATTTTGGGAAAATCTCTGCGTGAGGGACTGAATATGAAAATGTGTGTGTGTGTGTGTGTGTGTAGGTAAGTGGTTCAAGTTAGTTTTAAGTACTATTGTGAATTGTTTGGGTATCAATCAGTTATGGCACTATCTAGAGACAAAATTAACATTTAATTAAAATTAAGGCTGTAAGAAATCAGAGGCGTAATGGATTTCAATTAACCTGTCATCCTTGAACTTCAGATTGCTATTATTTTGTCTAAAGAAGGAATACGTTTCTACTTAAGGCCTACGCACGTCCATAGTTGGAAACATGTAAACATCTCTCTAGATGTCTCCGTATTAGTGCTAAGTCACCGATAGAGATGCAGGCAAATGACGTGTTTGTTTGTGTTGAAATGAAAGCCTTTAACAGCTCTGAACGTTGTTTTTCCATTTGAAATAATGAAGATTAGGAGTATAAACACATGCCAAAAGGAACACGCACATGCTCTCTGCGCAGAACGAACTTCAGCGACCATCAATTTTGGAATTCCGAGTTCCTTATAGCTAACAAATAAGTTTGTTTTTCCCTGGGTGCAACGGATATTCGTCTTTCACTTGAATAGAACCGATCGCGTTAGCGTTTCTTTCTCTTCCGTCTCTCACCTAATAGCATTGAATCGGTAAGTAGCGGGTCTCACCGCATTCCAGCAGATAAGTACTGGGCCAAGGCACACCAAGTGGCTCATCTATCTTAGCAGCCCTGGCCTATATGGCACATTCGAAAGATTTTACCTAAGCGATTAATGGATTGTATGAACTATGAGCGGGCACATGATTGACACTTCTGTTTCAGAAACAACAGCTCAATCTTCATTGAGAATACTCAAGGCTAGAATCAGCGGTATGGGTGGCCATGGGATGAGTTGAACAATGTCGCCGGCCCACTCCTAATACTGATCTAACACCACACCTCCGCTTTCCAACAATGAATGCAAAATACCGTGACTTTATCGACGCCGACAACTAGGAAGAGTACAGTAGACACGGCAGGCTCGCGCGAAAAAGCGAAAGTCATGCAGATGTGCAGAGAAGTTGGGTCTTGGGTTTGGGCCCTGGGCCGAGTAGAGCGCTCTTTGGAATTCTCACTCTGAAAAAAGATAACAAACAAAATAAAATAAACAGAAAACAGTTTGAGAGCGCATAGACTTGAACATGTTGAAAGTCTGTGAAGATGAAAGGCTTTTTGGGGCCACCTTCTGGTAAACCAGGAAAAGTCTGGGAATTTACTGGAGAATCATTAGCAATCAGAAACATTTTTGAGACCTAATAAATATTAGCAGATCATTATTTTTGTCACAATTTTATAGGCTGTGGTGACTTAGGGCATCAAATGATTTCACTGCAGTGCCTCTGACCGGGAAATCCTAGTCTCGATGTAGCAAGATTTGCGACACTATCTAAGTCGAATTTGTCCGCTATCATGAGAATTCTAGCGGCCGGCTTCTCTGATCGGTAGTTTTCCGTGGTTTGTCCGACCAATACCAGGCGGATGCCACAGCAGTACCCTAACAAACGTGCAACGGACCGGGCGCGTTCTTTCCATCCTTGTTCGATCGTCATCCTTTCACACTTACATACACGCACACACACACACACTTTCATGCACTACACATCATGTCGGGGAAGCTGTCATGAGCATAAAGCTTGCCCAGACCGGGCGGTGCCAAGCTGGATGAAATCAATTGTTAAATGGAAACCTCGCAAGCCGTCGTGTAGGTAAGCGCCGGATCTCATCCAGCGTGGAAAACACCGTCACCTCCAGCAATGAAAGCATACACTACACGTTCGAGAAAGATCATAGCTGTTGAGGCGCTCAAAAACACGATATGATAAATCAATTTATATAAACAATTTAGCGGCGGCGATGGTGTAACAGTTTGCGTACCGGACTGTTGTACCCAAGTTTGCGGGTTCAAACACGATCGAAGCCGTGGATTTTTAAGGGAAAACAAATCATTCGTACGCCTTCCTTCGGAGGGCAAGTAAAGCCGGCTGTCCCATGTTAGTAGATTTACTTGCACGTAAAAGATCCTGAAGCCTAAACGACGCCTCTGAGCTAAATTCAAATCGCCTGTTTCTCGCCCAAGAAATACCTCCTTTCTCTACTAGTTGATGAAAGGAGCGTAGAGAAATTAGCGTGGTCAGAAGAGCGGGCCTGATGGCCCGAGTCTCGCCACATAAAATAAGCAAATTCAATTCAATTTCTCTTTCTCAAGCATACACTCTATTTTTTGTCATTTTCCTTTGGAATATAAAATGATGTAATTTCTTTTTTTCCGTGTTCGTCCTGTACGCGTGCGTGCGTGTGCGCAGGCGCGCGAGGCGGCGGAGTGCGCGGCGCGGGAGCTGGAGGCCGTGCACCGCCAGGAGGAGGCGCGCCTGCGCGAGCTGGAAGACGTGCGCACGCGCCTGGAGCGCCTCCTGCAGGAGGAGACGGCGGCCAAGCGCGACGAGGAGATCGTGCGCACCCTCCAGGCCAGGTCAGCTCACCTCACTTCACCTCACCTCACCTCACCTCACCTCACCTCACCTCACCTCACCTCACCTCACCTCCACCTCCACCTCCACCTCCACCTCCACCACCACTTTCACCTCCACCTCCACCACCTCCACCTCCTTGGGGGGGGGGCACATTTCAGTGGTACACGCAATTCCCCGCAGGGAGAGGGGATCGTGGCTGCGTAGGTGGACACGATCTCTGGTGACGATATGTATACGATCAACCGGACCCTGCGTTTCGCGGCGGCACTCACGTCAATAGCTTCAATGTGGAGGCAGTGAGTAGGCGATGCTAAGCTCCTGGTTGCCGGGCCACACCCGGTAACCCGCCAGTCCGGCCTATGGCGCAACGACCTTTGAGCAGGGTCTTACCCGATCCTGCTCAAAGGTCGATGCACCATAGGCCCTACTGGTGGGGATTCTTCGAAATTCTCTGGCATCCATATAAAGAAGGCCGGCGGGAACCTTATACCACCCGCCAAGTTGGCTAGATTCTCGCGATACTCGCATCAATAGACTAAAAGCGTAGGTAGTGAGGAGGCCGGAAGCGGGCTGCAAGCCACCTGAACCTTGGTTCGGGTGGTCTGCTGTTAGGCCCTTGACTTCGTCGTGGCAATGGCTCAATATTCTGGGCAAAGAGGAGGGACTTGCTCCCGGCGCATGTGAGTGGCGCATTGATTCGACTCCGGTACTAGTCCGGAAAGCTAGTAGCTCTGAGCTGTCGGAGCGGTCCCAAACCAGGTGTTGAATGGGGAGTTTGCCGTGTGGGCAAACTGCCGTCCGGCGGGATCCAGATACTAGCCTGTCGCGTACTTATGCGCCGGCTGGGGGTGCGGATAAAGGTTAGAAGTCATAGGTGCCCACCCCGGGGGCGCCCTTGGTAGAATAAGTGTTTGTATGGGATAGTAACCCACGAAGGGTTTCTACTACACGTATTGAGGCGTATTAATACGCGAGTGTGACTGTAATTTACTTTACAAGGCAAGAAAGTTGATATTTCCACGAGTGAACGGAAGAGTTCTGGGATGAGGCCGATAGGCCGGATATGAATGCAGTCATATTTTGCTCAACATAAAACCGTGGTACAGGAGTATAAACATTTTATTCCGGTCGACTAGAACAGCTCTCAGACCCACAGGGTTTGCTTGAGTAGCAGAGTCAAACGTATGCAGCCTGAGCGAGATGCTAGCCAGATCACCTTCTGCTAAAACCTGGTAATTGCAAATCCTACTTTCCACAAACTCTGTTCGTACTCTAAAGCAGAGGTTCCCAGCTAATTTGTTTCGACACATCTCCGCTTCCCGAATAGCTTGTGTGTTGTCATTGATATTGATTCTATAGTAAGTATTATTAATAGTAATGATAATGATCATTTTAAATTTCATATCTGCGAAGTTTATAGTATGTCCGTACAGAGCATTCAGTAAATAATTTAAAATTACAACAACATTAACTCTGACATGTTTATTAGTTTAAGTTAAGAAGAAAGTAGCAGTTTGAAAATTCCAAGTTATTTCGTTATGACTTCCGCAGTTCTTGAGATATTTAGGTCTTTATAAAGTATCGACTTTATACATCGTGTAGGTCGGCGCCGGATCTCGCCATTCAGCGAGGAATATCACCACTACCTCCAGTGCTAAAACCTTGCGCTTCACCGGATTAATGACGTGGCTGAGTAGTTACACTCCCGGCGACACTAAGCAACCAAATTAATCAAACAAGCAGGAAAGGTGTATCCGCCCTCTCTCCGAATAACACATCCACCACACTAACTGGACTAATAACGAGAGATCGGATTTTTAGGTAATTACATTTTTTGTCTTTTTACTTACCGTTTTCAAAATTGTTATCCTGGCGAATCGTCGCTCTCCTAACACTATGTCCAATTGTTTCGTTTCATATTTTTACATTTTTAGTACTCTGTTACATATTTTGCAAATTATTTTTTATTATATTAAATTTCTTCAATTTATTATATTTTTTTATAAAATTAAGTATTTTTTAAAAAATCAGCATTTTCCCTGTATTATTGGTGAAATTAAGGCGTGAAAGCAATTATTGACGCCGTTTTGTGACCTTTAACCTTAATTTCCGCGAAAGTCTGGCGATTGCCGATGCGCCGGCGATGCGAATGTTGCACACTGCAGTGATTGTTTGCTGGCTCTAGATATCGCCAGTTCGTACGATGACGTGTATTGCTGAAGGTGCATATACGCTTATATGCACCTTGTTCTGGCTGCTGAACTACGGTCCTGGATAACAATAGATGGAGTTTTTCTATACTGTCGGTAAAGCTGTATTGTGCAAAGTGTGAGTCAACTTGTGCTCTCCAAATGATTTTTAAAGCGCATGTTTTATTTATTTTGAATTATTTTTAAAATTTTGTTTTGGAAATTTTTTATAAATGTAATTTCGTGTTATGTAAATGTGTTTTATAATTAGAGTATTTTAATATTACATGTTATATCCGATTTTACATATTTAATACATAAATTCTTGCCGTTTTCATTTCAAGTTTATGGACATATTTTGACTTTCTTACTACATATTTTTCCGGTCTCTACTAATGACCACAGCAGCTGACGCCTCCAGAAACATGAATGATTGAATGAGTGATTGAATAAATGATTGAATAAATAATTGATTGAATGATTGAATGAATAATTGAATGATTGAATGAATGAATAATTGAATGATTGATTGAATGAATGAATAAATGATTGAATGAATGAATGAACGTTGCACGTGCGCAGGGTGCTGGCGGAGGAGTGGGAGAAGCGCGAGGAGCTGGAGCGCCTGCAGGAGGAGCAGCGCGCGCTGCTGGAGGCCGAGCGGCGCAAGCGGCTGGAGTTCGAGCGCCTGCAGGAGGAGAAGGAGAGGGAGCTGCGAGGTAACGTCCTCCACCCTCCCCTTCCACCATTCCGCTTCCTTTTCCTCTCTCGGCTTCGATACCCAGTCAGTCCTCGGGGAGCTCCTAGTGGGTTCTCAGTAGATTTTCTGCGATTTCTTCCGTTTCCTCTGCCTCTTAATTCGCCGTTGCTTCATTATCACACGCCATATTTTTATTATCGTATTATTTTACTCATACTGATTTGGCAGTATATGTTCTAAAATGGGAAACGATACAGAGAAGATTTGCAATTGGCCGTTACTGGAAGGTCTCAGTAGCATTGTGACTCCTCAGTAGCATCTCCATATAAACTCAATAAATAAATAAGTAAATAAACAAATAAAATACTTCTCTCTTTTCCTTCTTATCATTGTACTTCTCTTACTCCATTTTCTTGCCATTTCGTTCTCTTTGTCATCCATTTACTTTTTACATTGTCTTTTGATCTCTCTTTCAATTTAATTTTTCTACTATTTCGCCATCTTACTTTCCTCTCTTTTCTTCTTCTTCTTCTTCTTCTTCTTCTTCTTCTCCTTCACCTCCCATTTCCCTATCTAATTTTCACCGTTTTTACAAATTTTTGTATGGTTAAAGCAGCTTGTGAGAATCAAATCTAGTCTTAATTTTTCGTTAACTATTCACGTAAATGAGCTGTGTGCAAATTTAAATCATATAATGTGAATGTATCTACTATTGTTTTAGTCATAATCTCAATTTTAAGTCATTATCACAAAAAGCAGACATTTGTAGAAGTTCTCAATACATTCTGTGTGGTCCCAATAACTGCTTGTGTTGGATCGTATCAACTTCAAGTCATTTCCTAAGAAATACGTCTTTCTTCATTTATCCTTATGTATTGCAATTTTCATGTAAATTTTTCTACATATATTCACAAACCATAGGACTCGAGAGTAAAAATAGGTAGCTGTCAAAGTTATAGTTTTTGAGATATTAAAATGAAGGTATGCTTCCATTTGCTCTGAATCTCAAATAGTCCAAATTACGGAGCGTAGTTGACCTCGCCTGTTGTCATCTGTATGTATCCCATTAAAACCCAGCACAAATGTTCATTTGCTTTTATGTTGCAAACGTTTCCAGGTGGGTTACCGTTTTTTTACACCGGTAGCTTTCATATTACACCCTTTTAAAATAATTTCGTCCATTAAATCTTGAGAGTGGCTCTTACTACTATGTCACAGAGCTGTGAAACCGTTACACGCGAGTTTTATCTTTACTTGTGCCTGCTAACTGCTTCTTATGCTGAGGGTGGCTGCGCCTGGAACGGCATACAAATGGCGAGAGCTCTTGTGCCAATGACGCACCTGCTGAGCGTGTTGTGTGCTGCGCAGATGCGGAGACGCGGCTGCGCCAGCTGGAGGAGGAGCGGCTGCGCTTGGACCTCGAGCTGCGCTCTGCGCACGTCAAGGCCACGGCGTCCGAGGCCTCCAAGGAGGTGCTGGAGGCGAAGCTGCGGGTGAGTACAGCGCTCAGACGAAATGCCGTCTCGAGATGCTCATGTATAGTTGGAGCAAAGAGTTGTGGCCGCTGCAAAAGAGGTATATAAACATGGAATTTTGTGAAAAGATATGCTACTTGTAATTGTATTTTTGTGGTTTTCAATTCGTTCTTTAATAAATTAGAGATCAACTTATATTTAAGAGAAGTTTGACTGAAACTTTGGAGTAATTACGAACACACTCACGCTTTCACTCACTCACCTTTTTCACTCACTCGCCTTTCTCGCTCACTACTCACTCATAAAGATGAATTGCATAATGTTACGACTTAATTAATAGATCCACAAAATTACAAATAATTTTAGGTACGTATAATGCTTTTTAGTGTAAAAAAAGTATTTTAACTTTTTAATTTATTTCAGAATCATACTCAAAGAGTTTCACATTTTTACTTCTCCTTTCCCTATGATATAGTAAGGACAAGTTATTGTATTACCTCAATATAATCTCGAATGTTGGGTCCTAAAATTCGTGATTAATGTTTTTCGAGGCGAACCTTCGCACACACATCGGGAGTAAGATTTATTAATGCTGTTCCAAAAATGGCTATGATTGATTTAGGTGACGAGAAGATGCAAGCAATTTTGTGCCCGAAAATCGGGATGTCTGTACGTTAGAAGTATAGTATGTCGTACATAACTATGTCAGATTAGAAGCCTTTGAGAAGATATTTGAGTAAAGATCATGAATGAGACGTAGTTGTGCCGTTTCGTGAATAATTGAGATTATTTTAATTTTTGAGGATACTTTATGTGACAATCCTGTGACATTTTTGAATTTTTCTGAAAAATGACTTCAAATATTTCTTTAAGTTGTTTTCTCGAATAAAGGAAAGAATATTTATAAACATGGAGTAGTTACGATTTTCAATAAACACTCAGAAATGTTAAAAGTTGCAAAGTTCAAATATTATTCGAACCTACACTTATAAAATTAAAGACAGATGTTTCTCAATGCAATTTATCCAATTTTAGATCTTTAAATGATGTCATGCAGTTAAAAAATAATGAGTAGTTGCTTAGTAATAAAACTAAGAGGAGGAAAAGTTTCGGTATGACGCGCATTCCCACAGTATATGATATAATCCTGGGGGGTAAGGTTGTTTCAAATTTGTATGCAAGGTTGCTTGAGGAAATGTAAATGTACACAATGAAGATTTACATCTCTTGAAGCATTGAATGATGTGATTTGCATGCGATGAGAGCTCGATGAAACCTAAGTAGCCTACAAGATAGAATCTAAAGTTTTCTAGTAATTCTAAAATTCCAATTTGATTTAATTAATTGTGCTCCGTTTTACTTTCAAAATATTAGGGATCACAACTTTTAGACAACTTTATTTTCTATCAAATTTATGTATTTTTTTGTAGTCTTAATTTTCCTTTCTTCATAATTTTTTTAATGTGCATGATTTCATTATTATACGAACGATATTATTATATTATTTGAACACAACATTCACTCCATCTGGATTTGTCAGTATTGTTATTCTCCTTCAGTTTTCAAACTTACGGGCCTGAATGCGAAACAGGAGAAACAGATTGAGCGAAAAGACAAGTAGCGAGCTACTTGCGCAATACGCCCCTGCGGGGGAGACCAATTTGCATAAACGCTCTCAGTAATTGGCTCAAATACAGTCCGGAACGTTGTAATTCTTGTTAAAGTATCGCAGAGCAGACTGCGTGTGGAGTTATATATCACTTGTGCTGTTGGACGTTGATGTGAGATAACACGAACTAGTTTGTATAGTGATGGATGAAATTGTCCGAAATTTAAATGCCAGATTGAATAAAAAGGTGTAATATTTTATAGAACGATATATTTATTTTACTATCTCAGTAACACTTCTTAAAAAGTAATATAAATTAACTGATTTCACTAAAACATTAGTTAATAGTTCTTGGTATATTTTTTATGAGAATCAAAAGACATTGTTTTATACGTAGTGTGCGAAATACATTCTCTTGTGCTTGTATTCCGTATACAAAACAGCTATTTTGCATTCTAATAGTATGGGAAACATTAGGAAACGTGCGCGAAATATCGCTAAGATTATGATAAACATTTTTCAGTAATGGTGTGTTAAAAAATAGGCAACGCATCCCGTGCTTGTGATGATTCCCGCACTTGTTAAGTAACGTACTTCCGTATTTTGTTTAGTTAACGCGCGACAACTTAATCCCAATCTGTACCACCTCTTTCCTGGAAGTGATTATTTTTGGCCAGTGTTGGCAGTAATCATTGTCTCGGCTCAGAGAGGGGAGGAGTGCTGGCTCTGAGCTAAACTCTGCGGTAGAGATCCTCTAGTTGGAGAGGATTCCCGCTGGGAGTGATACCTGGAGGGAGGGAAAACCTCAAGTCGACTGCTAGGTCGGCGCTGGATCTTATGCTAAAAGAGAGGGAATGAATCTGCGATACTTAGGGAACAAATAATCTAAGGGTATCACGCTCCCTGAAACAATAAATACTTACTCCATATTATAAAACCACATTAACAATGATACGGAGCAACACATTACAAATGAAACGAGAAAGTATTGTTTTTCGTGTTAGTGTGTGTGTTAGGGATGCGGCATCGATGTCGATGTTTTCAAAATATCGATGTTTTTATCAAATCATCGATGTATTTAACATCGAGTTTTTAAAGCCAATTTTCAATATTCATGCAATTATTCATCCAATGCCAATATTCATCCATGCCAATGTTTTTTAACATCTATGTTTTGGTCCATTGGAACAAAATACTATTATAATTTTCAGATATCCATAAATTTTATATTCCTCGGGCCAATACGGCGAAGGGCTAAAATAAACAAAATTCAGTTTTCGTCAATAAAGAAGTATAATTTTTGAAATATTGAACCAGGTAATCCAAGTTTCGTTAATTGTCCCTTTCTTTACTTGTTCCATTAACTGTCCTGGTGATTTTTTGACTTTTTTGGTCAGTTAATAAGCGATATCACTTTCAAATTAAATCTTTCCCGCGTGAACTTCAGTGTTTACTAATCCAATTTTAAAAAATCGATGGTTACATCTTCACTGATTTCGGGTCGATATTTTATTAACTTCTATATTTTAATTGTGAACGATCAATGTTTTGAAACATCAATGTTTTGTTGGCGATGTCGCCAGAGGCGTATCTAGGTTTTCATGCGCTCATGGCAAGCATAGTAGCATCCGAGGGTGTGACATGGGGCCACGCCTTCCCCCTCAGGCCTAATGTTTTCGTTTGTTACCATCAATTGGCAAAATTGATTTAAAAATTTATGATAGAATTATGTAATTATTTAAACTATAATATTATATATTATCATGTATACATTACAAAAATAATATAAAAATATGGGGTAACAAATATGTTTATTATGTACACCGAAAAAAAAGAGAACCGTTGGAATATACCAGATCCATGATACTGTAACTAGTTTCCTTATCATGGATCCCTATCATGGATCTGCTATACTCCAAAGGTTCTTTTTTTTTAGTGTAACAAAAATCTATGTTTGCCTCTCCCCCTCAAATGATGGGCTGGATCCGCCCCTGAGTGAGTGGCGTTCATGGTATGTGCCATGTTTGCCGTAAAGCAGACACGCCTCTGGTGCATGTCGCATCTCTAGTG